GCCCGGGCTGTTATGAATGCGTCTGTTTACTTATTTTTTAACCAAATATTCTAGGATATTAAAGACTATATTGTCGGCTCACTAAGATCAAAGATATTTGTCCGTGACCACCAGACGAGAAGCTTCTTAGGGACAGGATTACACCAGACACAGATTTTGTATTTGCTGAGTAGGTGAGTCCGTAATTAAATGAACATCACTAGGGTCAAAGCCCCAGCCCTTTGTGCCTTTTTCTGTTACTAAATTCTAGTCTTTTGACTTTGAAATTATCTTCTGCATGTTATATTTGGGATTCAGGAAACCATTATTGAGTATTTACTATGTCAGGAAGCCATAGACTTTTTAACTTTTGTTTTTAATTACTAGTAAATTGCTAAAGTAGAAAATATTTAATATAATAAATGGTATTATTTTCCATTGATTTCTATTGCCACAGAACCTCAGGGATATGATTGAATATTATATCATGCAGTGAATGTAAACCTAAGAGATTGGGCTGAAAATTCAGTGATTGATAGACTAGAAAATTTAGACATTAAAGTAAATCCTTAAGAACAACACAGATTTGCCCCTGTGTCCTGAGAATAGATATACAGAGAACAAGAAATGTTTGGTTTAGGAACTTTTTGAAATACTACCTAATTAAAGGAAAATAATCATTCTACATTAATAATGGCTCTAAGAACATAAATAGTAAATTACACTGAATTCATACATGAGTCATAATTAAAATACAGATATTAAAATTCAGCAAGTATTAAGTGCATTCTGTGACCAAAACACAAAAATATGAATTATCAGAAATTCCCTATATCATGTAATTGTCCAATGTTAGAGGAAAAATTCTCAATCCTGTCCCAAACCCTGATTTTACAGATTAAGGAAAGGGTCATTAACTGTGGTTGTTAGCTTGCAAGATGGGCCCCAATGTTCCCTGCCTCTCTACTATGTACACCCATTTGAAGTCCCATCCCAATAGGATACTACAGGATAGTGTTAAGTCTCTTCTGAAGCTAGGTCATTACAAATTTATTTATATATAGTTATAAATTTTTAATGACCTAGCTTAATATATATATATACATACATAAATAGCATATATATATATACATACACACACATATATATAGCTTATATATATATAGCTTTTATATATATATACACACACACATACATATATATAGCATATATGTGTGTGTGTGTGTGTGTGTGTGTGTGTGTATGTAATTTGTAATGACCTAGAAGAAGACAGAAGCTATATATATGTATGTCTATATATAGCTTCTGTCTTCTTCTTCCTCTTGGATCATTTGCTCTTAGGAAACTAGCTGCCATGTTTTGAGGACACTCAGTGTTGGAGGAGGTCAAGAGGATGTGGTGGCTGGTTGACCCAAGACCTGGACCCTGGGCAGTCAGAGGCTCCTCCCCTGTCCTTGGAATGTCCGTTCTAACCACTACTCCAACCCCAGGAGCCATTTTGGAGACACAGCCTTGAGAGAATAGTTGTTGAGACCATGTGGACTGTATATATGACCGAATCCCCCTAAGATCTCTATATAAATTTTAAGATTCTGGTGGGCACGTATGGAGATCTACTCGTCTTGTGGTCACCCAAGACAGACCTCGCATGTAATTGCCCTGCTGCCTACCTGGAGACCACTCCAGGTCTGCCTCTTTTTTCAGGGTCTCCTTGCCCTTTATGTATGGGGGCCAGTTTCAGATTTCACCTGAAGAACCCCCAAGGTTGTGAACCAATACCCAAGCAGCCAGTGGAGAGCCTCAGATGACTAGGAACAAGCAAGTGAGTGAACCATCTTGGAAACAGATTCTCTAGTCCAAGGGTGGGCAAACATTTTCTGTAAAGAATCAGGCAGTAAATATTTAAGATGTATAGGCCATACAGTCTCTATCAAAACTACTCAGTTCTGCTGTTGTCGTGCAAAGGCAGCCACGGGTAATACGTGAATGAAAGGAATAGACTGTATCCCAACAGAAGTTTATTTACAAACACAGGCAGTGGGCCAGATATGGCCTGTGCACCATGATCTGTCATCCCCAGCTCTTAGCCTCAGTCGGTCGCTCAGATGACTGCAGCGCCTGCTTCCTGACTGCACAATCATGAGAGGCCCTGAGCCACAACCACCCGGCTGCTTCCAAATTCCTGACCTACAGAAGGAAGGAGAATGACTGCATGTTGTTTTAAGCCACTCAGTTTCGGAGTAATTTGTTAACACAGTAATAGATAACTAATGTACCAATAATCCAGGAGAGGAGGCTGGGGACAGATGAACCCAGTTTGACTATGAGGTGCTAATTGTTGAGGCTAAGCAGTAGGTAGATATGGGGATACATGATACTGGCCTCTCCACTCGTGTGTAATAAGTTAAAAGAAAAAAACTGGTAAGTGATCTGTCTGCAATCAGCCCATCACAAAACCACAAAGCCCATGCTGCATACCCACTCTCTGGCTCTGAAGTCCTGTGTTCTCTCGGCTTCCTCTTTCTGCATAAATAGCAACCAGTATAGATTTGGCTGTTTGCCCAAGTTTCCCCTCAATTCTTTACCACCTTAGTACCTCCAACTTAACATTCAAGATAGTTCTTTGGACCTCGATACCATCGTTCTTGTTGAGCCATCCTGGAGACCGTTGTACCTCTTCCTAGCTCTTTATAGTATGGACTGTAGAGTTGGTCATTCCTGGGGGTGGAGCCTTTGCTCAGGGACCCAGAGTCCTACCTGCATGTGGCCTGGGATAGAACAGTGCTAACTGTTCACATTCGTGTTGAATGCTGCTGCCACCAGAGCACCCGCAAATCCATTATCTTTTTTTTTTAAAGAATTTCTTTAATGTTTATTTATTTTGAGAGAGAGAGAGCACGAGTGGGAGAGGAGCAGAGAGAGAAGGAGACACAGAATCCGAAGCAGGCTCCAGCGTCTGAGCTGTCAGCACAGACCCGATGTGGGGCTCAAACTCACAAAGTGGGAGATCATGACCTGAGCCAAAGTCAGACGCCCAACCGACTGAGCCACCCAGGCGCCCCGCAAATCCGTTATCTTAAGTAATTCTCACATAGCCTCCGAGGAACGGCCTGGCAGGTGTCACTCCAGGATTACGTAGGTGAGAAGACAGAGACTCTGAAAGTTTAAATGGTCAAATAAAGGTGCTGGGTTCAGTGTTCTTGCTTCCTTCCTATACTACTCTGATGCTTCAGGACAAACAGGATTTGACATTAAATAGAATACAGTTCACTTGTGAAGACACAGTGGGTTGGCACATAGTAGGTTCTAAAATGAGTTTAACTTCGCTTTAAAATGCCTCTGAGGGGCGCCTGGGTGGCGCAGTCGGTTAAGCGTCCGACTTCAGCCAGGTCACGATCTTGCGGTCCGTGAGTTCGAGCCCCGCGTCAGGCTCTGGGCTGATGGCTCAGAGCCTGGAGCCTGTTTCCGATTCTGTGTCTCCCTCTCTCTCTGCCCCTCCCCCGTTCATGCTCTGTCTCTCTCTGTCCCAAAAATAAATCAACGTTGAAAAAAAAAAAATTTTTTTTTAAATGCCTCTGACATTAGAAATTACCCTGAAAGGGTTTTAATTGGCAATGTAAATAACTTAATATATTGATTGTTAGGTCCGTGACATGGATATTTGAAATAACTTGTCTTTTGATACATTGCATTGACTGTACGTTCTCACCTCCCCCCCTGGAATCAGAGAATGAGTCTGGACTATTCTGCTCTCGTAGTTCCCCAGGAAAACCGTGAACTAAGATTCAGTGGTGGATTTTGAATATCTCATGCATTTAAAAACCAGATGTCTTCGGTGACGCCATTTACAAATGAGAGAAAATGATGTGAATAGGTGAAGACAGTGGTGGGAGAACAAAGAACAGAACAGCAGACCTGGTGAAGTGTCATTGGATGATGAAATTCAGTTCTAAAGTGCATCACCTCCTCGTTCCGTTTTCCTTCCAAAAATCTGTTTAGTGTTGTGTTTTCCTCTCCTAAACATGTGGTTGGAAAGAAATGAATTTTTTTCTCATAAATTTTTGAGTTTTGTTTATTGGTGGCTGTCCTTTCAGATAGAGTATACAAAGCAGTTACTGTCTGCCAGGTAACTATGTTACCAGGGCTGTAACTTTAAATTCTTGACCTCCCCGCCCCCCCCCCCACCCCCAAACCAAGCTGGAGGGAAAAAAATCTATTTGTTATTTGGAAAGTAAATGGATCTCGAGATTCTCTCCGATTCTTCATTCGAGTTGCTTAAAGCAGTGTCCGTGTGGGTAGATTTGCAGGCTCTTTTGTTTGAATTGTCTTGAAAAAAAAAATGAGAGGCATATTTTTAATTTTCGAGTCTGGTTTTAGTCACAGGCACGAGAGAAAAGGAACTGCCAAATGTCTGGGAAACACAGCACCAACGCCCCTCCTTTCCCATGTGATAAATATTGTTTTGATTAGAAGCAGAATAAAACCAGGTTGCTTTTTTTGACTTCTTGGACTAATGAGTTCGCTCTTTCTTTTTTTTTTTTTTTAATGTAAGTTGTAGAAAACCATTTCCAAAGACATCGGTCTGGGTTATTTAAACTTTATTCAGAATAGCTGTGCACAAATCGTTTCTGTGAAAATGACGTGTGATTAAACAGTTACCACCCAGAAACTCGCTAAGGAATTGTCATGTCTATGTGCGTGCCAAAACATTGGCCCTAAATGAAGCATTTTGGTTCCCTGAAGGGTATCAAATATGCCAGGAGCAGAATGGGTGGTTTCATGCCCTGGGTGTTAAATGGCTTTTGGAGTCAGGTATACATGTCTCGGGAAGCCCAGCTTCACTGCTGAGTAACCCTGGGCACGTTACCAAACATCTATGGGCCTCAGTTTCTTCCTCTGTGAAATGGGCGTAATGACAGGAATAACCACACGGGGTAAGCAAGCAGTCGGGTCCGGGCCGGCAACCGAGTCTGAGTCTATTGCTTGTCCACTGTTTTCCACCATAGAGCAGATGGGTGTGGATAACAGAATTCTCTGCTGAGTGCAATGTAGAACTTGACCACCGGGAGACAAAAGACTCCTTTTTAATACTCCACCCTTGGAAATGGATGGGTTTCATACGCCACCCTTGGAGGCCTTGCAAAAGAGAAGGAACTGCCTGCTTTGGACATTTACCTACTTTCTGGCCGTGAGCTGTCTCAGATCCCACCCCACCCCCCACCACCCCCACCACCCCACCCTGCCCAAGCTCTGTGGTTCCTTCAAAACGGTTACTCTCCGGGGCGCCTGGGTGGCTCAGTCGGTTAAGCGTCCGACTTCGGCTCAGGTCGTGATCTCGTGGTCCGTGAGTTCGAGCCCCGTGTCGGGCTCTGGGCTGATGGCTCAGAGCCTGGAGCCTGTTTCCAATTCTGTGTCTCCCTCTCTCTCTGCCCCTCCCCCATTCATGCTCTGTATCTCTCTCTCTGTCTCAAAAATAAATAAACGTTAAAAAAAAATTAAAAAAAAAAAATGGTTACTCTCCAGCTGTATTTTAACCCAAAACAGGTCATTTTGAAATGCGAGTCAACCAGAACTCATCTGGACTTCAAGTGGATTTCTGGAAATGAAAACTGGGGTCACCTCCCCGGGCAGTGGGCTGCTTTCAGAAATTACAGCGGGGCTCCGCTGGGTACCTGCTCCTTCAGTGGCGACATTCACGTGTAGTGGGCTTGAAATAAAGGAGAGCTTAGAGTTTCGAGATCAACATGGTAGGACAGAGCTGCAGGGTAGGATTCTGTAGAATCTGTGTGCGTAGGTCAGTCACTATTTCTTTTCTTCCGCCCCCCCCCCCCCCCCCACTCCTCATCTCTGTCTCTTCTTCTTTTTTCCTGGGTTTCAAGAAAGGAAAAGGCCTACGTGCCCAGAGTGGCCATTCTTTGAATTTTATGTTATCCATACGCCGCCCTCCTTTTAACCTTCATTCTTCATGTTTGGGTTACTATTTGCGTGCACGCTCGCGCTCTCTCTCTCTCCCCCTCTCTCTCCGCTTCATTTCCTTTTAGCAAACTATCCTGCTTTCTCTCCTGTGGATCGTTGCAGATGCTCATTCATGCACCCCTGGTCTCAACCCCTCCCCCGGGATGGCCACAGACTCGTGGCCTGTGCTCTTGGCCAGCATTCCTGCTTGGGAAGCTGTGTGTCAAGGATAAGGGTGACAGCCCTTGTGAAGACTGCCCTCTCTTAGTGGGGGGCTTGGGGTTGAGGGGCTCATCTCCTCTCCGAGTGGCCCGTGCTGGCCAGGCGTTGGTGGGGGAGCCCCTCCAGTGCGGCTGACCCCTGCGGGGCCTGGGAGATATGCGGGCTGCTTTCCTTGTAAGAGCAGAGGTTGGGATGGACCTCATTCAGATCCCGCTGTCAGAGATGCAGCCCGACGCCAACTTAACTCGCTGTCCCCTGAAGAAAACGGCCCGCCCCTTCGATGGTCCTAATTAACTCGCCTCTGAACGTTGCCATACCAGATGGCAAACGAGGGGCTGTCTCACCTGGAACCAAGAAGTGCATGCGTCCTAGGGAGGAGAACACTCTCTGTCCCTCCTCTCCAGAAGCCTCTCTCCAGGCTTGGGCTGAGGAAAGTGCAAAGTAGGGTGGGAGAAACAGGAAACAAAAGGCTGAACATTCGAGAGCTCTAACAGAAGCTGCCTCCTGCCACATCCTGAGTGCAGCTTTGTTCGTGGCCCTGCCATAGTAGAGCTTTGGCTTGCGATCATAGTGCACATAATTTTCGTTGTTTCAACAAGGCAGGGAATAAAGACAATTGTTTGCCATTTGTGTGGTCTCTTTCACTTGGTCAAAAAGAGTGCTCTGTGACAGAGGCCCTGAGGCCTGGACAGCACTAGGTTTGAGATAAGCCGCTGACCCAGCGATGCTGGAGCGCCCTGTGGAATGGGGACAGTAACCACAGGAAGTAGGGTGATGCTCCCAAGAGCCAGTCCAGCGCCTGGGCGTCGGCTGTGTTCTCAGCCATCGCCGGTGTCCTGCCTGGGACGGTGGAGACCACCAGGCATCTCGACAGTCACCTCTGCTTGCCTCCTTTTCCATATTCTCTTAAAACAACTGCATCAGCATTTCCGATCTGCCCCCAGTGGGAAGCTGTGTGTCACCCACCCCCACCCCCGCCCCCAGGCTCCCTCAGATCCCCGTTCAGACCGCGTGCACTCGGCCAGGGGGTGGCTGAGTGGTAATGAGCTGCCGTCGTTGTGGGGGGGCCGAGCGGGTTCGATTTGCATTCACATTTGGCTATAGGACCTGGCTGTCTTTCATCCCTAATTTCAGGAATGCTTGTGACAGTCCAGACACCCCTGTCTCGTAGAATTGTTTGTTAAAATACGCACGTATGTCTTTCCTCTCTGGAACTCGGGCCTGTCCTGCCGACAGACACAGGGTGCGCCAATCACTCAGGTTAACTGTAGAGAGAAAAGAAAAAACTTAGGTTCTCGTGAGTTAATTGTGTCTTAACACGGTGGCAGTCTCAGGAAGAAATGGTTGGTTAGCACGTGGCTGATCCTCTTGAAGTTGATTTTTCTGGGAAACAATACGCCAGCCACGCTTGTTCCTGAGCTGCAAAATACGGACTCAGGCATCTTCAGATAGTCCTCCATTAGACTCAAAACCATCTGCTTGTTTGCAGCGGAAATACAAATTTTCCACTGTTCTGAGCACTGTGACGGTGGCATCCCTCCAGAGAAAGCGCAAACTGGGCCCTGCGGAAGCACGGTCGCCAGCCGGCTCTGCCAGGCACTTGGGGTTCATTTCCACTGATCTGACGAGGCAACAGAGAACCGACGAAAAGTGCGATGTCTTTTCACAGCTAAGCTCCCCTTCTCTAACACCCTCCCGGGCCTCCAGGGATTAAATCGCACTCAGTCCGCCTTCGTCGAGTTTCCATTTGCATTTAGACTCTCACAGCTGTGAGACCATCGTCAGAATCCGTGTGATCTGCTCTTGAGGGACAACAGTGAAAACGGGAGGGCGGGCCTCCCTGACCGGAACGTCCCCGGGCTGAAGGTGGTATTACGCGCGGCCCCAGAGCGGGCGCCGCCCCTCTTCGCTTCGCGGTGAAGTCAGATCAGCACCTCCGCCACGCTGTCCAGGGTTCCAAACCCGCCGCCCTACGGGGTCGCTGCGTTCACGTGGACCAGACCATCTGAACACCTGTTGCCTTAGGCGATAGACATAATCGTTGGAAGAATAATTTGGCCTCAGTGCACACACGCAAAAATGGACACATGCCAGCTGAAAGACCTCGTCCTGCCGACGTGATGGGACTTTCCATACGGTAACCCGGTGACAGAGGCGTCAGCTTCCGTGTGCCGTGTTAACAGGATGGCGTCCTACGTCGGAGAGCCATCGGAGAGAAGTTACTCTTCAGACCACGAGGAGTCATAGTCTCTACCTGGAAGTGTTCACAGAAAACCTCTCTTTTCCTAATACAGCACTGTTGTATTCAAAGTGTGTGCAGTGGGCGAGCGTGAATTTTCCGAGTGTTCAGTTAGATGAGGTAAGCGGGACGGAATGGGTTTGGGGACATCACCTTCTTGCCGTTGCATAAATGGCACCCTGCTTGAGCGGGCACATCGGGCTTTTCATATGGGTCCAAGAGCGCATCAGAGTAGTTTAGCTGCAGGCTTGGGATGTCTTTCTCCTTTCTTTTCTTTTCTTCTCTCTCTTTCCTTCTTTCTTTCTTTTTAAGAAAATAGGAATAGAGAAAGACTCACAATATTGTCATCATGAAAGGGTCCATCACAATCCGGGCAACAGGATGCAAATACCCTTGCCCTGCAGAATCAGACATGAGCACAGCAAGAAGAGTTGAATATTTCGTAAAATTATTTCTTTAAATGACAGTAATAGGACATATGTGAAATTACTTAGAGAAAAGGTCTTTTTGCAGTAACTTCGTAGTAAAATGCAGTTAAGCACAACTGGTGTACTGTTCTCACGCCCTTTGTTTTACCTTTCGCTCAGCTTCTGTTGGATGGGGAGGAAAAGGCTACATAATCTCATGTAATGTAATACATCTCATTGTGCATCGTCAAAGCAATTAGCATGGCAGAAACAACCCCAGCTTCTCCTTGAGCACAAATGAAGGACTCCAGTCGCTCTCTCCCTCCTCCTGCTTTCCTTTTTAAAGATGGGTCTTCAGGAATAACGTGCTGAAAAAAGAGAACGATATTCAAATGTAATATAAAAACTCCCCTTACAACACTTGAGAGACATTCAGCCTTTATAAGTTTGGTTTTTTTTTAATCCGGTATTTTGTTAACATTAACCTCAAGTGCGAAATACAAATTAGATGGGTTAGTTGGCTTTTATCTGACTCACAATTCGGTAATGTAATACGCACATGCTTTTGGACGTTTTTGGTGGTTGTAATGGTTCTTTTGTTGTATATTCAAATTACCCGGTACAATTCAGTCCGGTTCCCTGCCGTCACTAGCGATCCGTAACGCAAACCGGATTTTACATCTGGGAAAGAAGATTCTGAAAGATACAGATGCGTGGCTATAGGGGAAGTAAGAGCATGCACTTCCTCTTCTCCCCCCACGGCCGTGGCTCCTCAGACTCGGCGTTTCCGCTCCTGTTCCGTGGGCGTCGGCCGTTTGGGCAGCGGTGGTGGTGATGTGTGGTTCAGAGCAGCTTCACCAGGGATGTTGAAGAGGTCGTAGCGAAGGCAACTCAAAGCAAGAAGAGATTAGTGGACAGCTGCTGCAGCCAGTCAGAAAATAGCTCGGTCCGCAGAGTTCTTCCACTGATCTTGTACCTAGACTCCTCAGCCAGAATGTGGAGGGAAAAAGCCATGAGGAGGGCGACCCAGGCCTGGGCTCGGGACAGGGTGCCCACTGCAGATCGCGGGTTTCGCTCATTCATCCAGCAGACGTCTCGTGTGCCTTGTGTGCGTCTTAAGTAGGGCAGTAAGTAAGACACAGGGCTGTATGGAAGGAGCAGATCTGGAAGGGCTACATATTTGGTGACATTGCAAGTGCTGATTATAATTCTTCAGTTGCCAGACTCTTAAATTATACCTTTGAATTCCTCAAAGGAGCAAGCACTAAGTTGAAAATCAAGCCCATATCCTGCTGGTTTCCCTTATGTCTCTATTTTCATTTGGTACTTTAAAAAGTACAGAGACTGTCATTCTACAGAGTATAAGAACGTAGCTTCAGCCTCTGAGATATAACTAATAGATGAACTATGTTAATAAATCAGCTTTTAGATGGACTGAGATTCTTCTTCTCCATCGTCTGAGAAATCTGTGTGACCAAGAACCGCTCATTAAGGTAACACGCTGTGTTTTTAGGTTTCCATTGCTAGGGTTTGGAATTGAGGTCCCTAACGTGGGATCGTAAATGGTACCGGGACTTGTTTAGGGAAACTTTCTCGTTAGTCAGGGATATGCTGAGGAATCTGTTAGGGTCTCGCAGTCTCTGTTCGGGGACCCTCCTGCAGCTCCCCTGCCCCTCCCACTTGCCCTTTCACTACCACAGCTTTCTCTCCCCAGTACAAACGGAACTCTAGGGGCGCCTGGGTGGCTCTGTCAATTAAGCATCTGACTTCAGCTCAGGTCATGATCTCACTCACGGTCCGTGAGTTCGAGCCCCGCGTCGAGCTCTGTGCTGACAGCTCGGAGCCTGGAGCCTGCTTCAGATTCTGTGTCTCCCTCCCCCCCAGTCTCTCCCCCCTCCCCCCCCCCTGCTCACGCTCTGTGGCTGTCTCTCAAAAATAAATAAACATTTGGGGCGCCTGGGTGGTTCAGTCAGTGGGGCGTCCGACTTCAGCTCAGGTCCCTGGGTTCAAGCCCGACGCTGTGCTGACCGCTTGGAGCCTGGAGCCCCCTTCGGGTTCTGTGTCTCCCTCTCTCTACCCACCCCTCCCCTCCCCCCCCACCGTGGCTGCCTCTGCAGCCTCGTCTCCCGGCCAGCCCTCCTCTGCAGCCACACAGAAGCGCACCAGGTTCCCAGGGCACCGCTCGTGCTTTTGCCTCTGCACTTCCTCGTCCCTCTCCTACCCTGGCTCCTTCCCTCTGCCCACTCGTCTCCCCTGGAAACATTCTCCTCCTCTTTTCAGACTTCTGGGTCTCCACCGCAGCACGGTCATCCTTCGTGCTACGCGTGATCGTGGTTTACCTACCCGCGTCCTGGAATAGCCAGGAGGGAGCCTGCCTGTTTTCTTAGTACCTAGCTGCTGGTGGCGTACATGAAACAGCGAGCCCGCGCCCCTTGACTGGTGACCCCATACTTGCACGCGTGTTCCCAAAGAAGGTCGTGGCTGCGCCACGGTGCGAGGCAGCAGCATTAACCTTCTGGAGGACCCCTCGAGACAGGCCCTGCCCCTGGGAGTCCGAGAAGTGCCGGGGGGAAAACAGGAGGTTTGGGCTTAGAACACCTGCGGTCATTTGGGCCCTCACCCGGTGCTCTAGAATTTACGAGTCCGAGGCCTGGATTCCATCCAGTCTGTGCTCCAGCGCGGAAAAGCCAGGCAAGCTTGGGCAAGTCTCGTAACCTCTGCCTCGGTGTCGTCATTGCTAAGCTTGAGGTGTCGGAGCAGGCGATGGCCTCTGGGATTGCTGCAGGGCAGCTCTCCCTGCGGAGACTCGGGGTGCACGCCGTGAGGGGGGGCATCCCCCGGGCGGCTCCCGTAGCGTTCAGACGACAGTCCCGTGATCAGTGGCACCATCCTTTAACATGCCTGCATCCCCAAAGATGGGGAGAGAATTTGGAATGTGGGAAGTGGCATGTGGTGTTCACCTCATCTACTTTGTGCTGTA